AACAATACATCTTATCGGTAAACCTTTTTATTTCGGAGCCTTTTAGGGTCAAATGGTGCTTCCATTTGCTTTGTAGTCGAAATTGTGTTTATTAGAATTAGAATTCATTACGGGGAAAGTATCTTTATCTAATCATATTTGTTTCTTCCATTTCCCCTCTCGCTGCCTCAGTTGACAAGCTTTCATATGCATGTAATTATAAGACATCATTATGCGGTGATTGTCATCGCTAGAGCATCAAAGACAGGGATCCCCGCGTGCGTCTCTCTCTCTCTCTCTCTCTCTCTCTCTCTCTCTCTCTCTCTCTCTCTCTCTCTCTCTCGACGTTCTCAATTATTTATTTATTAATTTATTTATTTAGAATAAATTTGTTAGCGTCTGTTTTTGAGTGCACTCTCTCAAATTCACTCGGTTTCAAAGAGAGCGCGTGAAGTGCCCATTGTTCAGGAATAATGAATCGGTGAAACGTCGAGAAAACCTGTGAACCACGATACTCAGACCTTTCTTACGTCGAGCTTTCTTTTTTTCCTATTGAAACACTTTCTCCCTGGGTGGCAAAATATTTATTTCATTGCGCCGCGCAATTATTATGAGTTCTAGCGACATCGACTGAGAATCTGATTATTCAACTTTAATTTTTTGTTATTTAAATTTTGATATTGCCACAGTCATTAAAAAATCCGTGGTTATCATATTTATTATGTTTCCAATATCATCGTCATTTAATGTTTAACTTTGAACATGGTAAATGTTTAATTCAAAATGAAAATTCAATCGAAAAAAATATCCAGTATAAACATATGCAAACAATTATATTTAATAAACAAATACATTTAGTTGGACAAATGAAATTTAATTCCAGTAGAATGTGATGTAGCTAAAAAATATCTACAACATTTCGATGTTATTTATTTACCTAAATTGTAGATGAAAATGCTAGCTATATATCAAATTTAATTAATAGAACTCGCCAAAGGACTCTACATGATATTTCATATTATTTTATATGCATATTCATATTGTTAAGCACACAAATAGTGTTCAGCATAATTGAGGACTCCCTATTTTGAAAATGAATATTTTTATCCATTTCTCAATGAAGGCAATGTATTTTGGTGCATTTAAACAAAACTAATTAGTAAAATAGATATATTTATTAAAATGATATTTTAACCACTAAACATATTTAATTTTAAAATGATACAATTGAATCCAACCAAAATAGTGCAAAAAATATTTACAACCTACAAAATTTTAACAATTTTTTAATTTTTTTTTTTTTTTTTTGCTTCTCTTGATTTTTCCTCTTTTTAAATTTGTATTTAATATCTTTCTATAACATATACATTTTGGTGTACTCGTTTTTGGACCTTTATCGTAAGTTATTTTGTTAGATAAGCCCCAGATTTGGCTTCAGTACTGACTAATCTAATGTTTATGCACAAATATAATATTGTATAGCTTCCTACAAAAAATATTATTTATACGATAGATTTGTGAGGGTTGTACTTATATATGCTAAGCACTATATATACATTATATATATATATATAATTTATTGAGTTTTTTATTCTTATAAGGTATTACTTCAAAGTTTTTTGTACGCTTTGAACCTCTTGTAAAAGATATTGCATTGAGACAGCGAATGGTGGTTTATTCTTGCAAATGTTCTTGTTTTACTGTCTGACACCCACACAAAAGCAAACCAAGCTCAACGGAATCATCTTAGCATATAGTCACATTAGATCTACAGAATAATGTATTGTGTAGTAAAACAATATTATCAACATTCTATAAAATCAATAAAGCCATATTTTTTTCAAGGTGAATATTGATGCAATAATGTGTTTTCCCAGACCTTCTTTTTAAAAGCACTGAAATAATAGCACTTATTTCAAATAATGAATTGCCCTGCATTAAAGGAGAACTCTTAAGAAGTCCTTTCAATGACAGTCCCCCATATAAGGAACAAGCTCCCCTTGCATTTTAGAAACATGTCCTTGAAATCTTTTATTGATTACATGGAAAATAATATTTAGTCTGAATCTGTTACATTTGAAAGACCTTGAGTTTATATCCATTGTGTGCGAAAGCTTTTTCTTTCGTTCTGCTCAATTAGAGCTGCGCTAGATATATTTCCAGAGAGCATTTAAGGGCCCTAACATAACCATTTTATGTATAAAACAATCTATAATTGTAGTAGCAATTGTGATTTGCAACTACATTCAGCATCTTTTCAGTTTGTAGCCTAGACGAGATGCTGAAACCACTCCATCTTGGTCTGGCCCTGATGGGCCTTAACCTTGGACCATATGACCATGCAAACGGGGGCTTTAAAGCTGAGGGGGTCCTGAAGGTGTGTGGGCCAAGTCATGCCTTTCACATTATATGCTTTAACATGGATGGCAAATCCAGCACGGTTAAACAAACTTAACCTTCATTTGTGAAGCGGTGCAACTCAAAGGGCAGAAAACGACTTGTGAAAGTAATTACCGCAAGGGAAAAGCAACAGGGGGAGTAGAGAGAGAGAGCGAGACAGAGTGGAGGTAAAGAACAGAAATCATTTAAGATGAAGAGGCATTTTTAATGAGTTTGCTCAGACATTGATTTTCCCCAGTAATCTTTTATTAATATGCAGTGGGTGTCCTGTCCCCGAGCCCAGGGAGGGGTCACAGGCTGTCAGGACCCCTACTCCCTCAAATAACACCCCAAAGCCCAGGGAAAATGGTATTTTAGCAAAGGCAAACATTGTCCTGTCTTGGCTTAAGGGGCGAAAAAGCTGTTTATTTTAAAACTTGTTCCTCTCTGTCTGGATGAGTAAGGTACTTTGAGGAAGAGCGACAAGAGGATAAAAGAAATGCATAAATCCATCTATAGCTTTGCATATTAATTTTATTTATTTAAGTGAAGTTGTACATGTTTAAACGTCTTCACCTGGTTGCAGTATCACCTTTGATAAAACAAAGACAAACATATTTACAACTGTGCAAAACAAAAAATTGTATTAGTGATAACTGTGTGAATAATAATTGTAATGTGTTGGAAACAATTGAATTATTTCCTTTCTTATATTGATTCTAACCAACTATAATATAATTTAACAATACACATTGTGTTTTGTGTCAGAGCTTTCTTGATTTTTTAAAATGAAAGTTTTTTTTCATTTAAAATTTAAATGGACAAATTTTAATTATTAAAAAGCAAATATTAAAATGACAGTTTTCTAAGCTCACCTTAAAATTAAAAATGTTCCTTAAAATTAGTAGAAAATTGTTTTACAAAAATTACATAATGTAACCTAAGAATATAAAAAATATATACACCTATTAAAATGTTTCAATGTCTCAAAGGTAAAGATTAGATCACGAGTCCGTTCCGTTACAAAGGTGTTGTCTGCCATCTAGCGGCTCAATGGCAGTATCGTAACCCTTGTGCATCCTTAAGGGTGATTATGTTGGCTCTAAAAGTCAAACATATTGTTTGGCAAATAGTATTGAATGTATTTCTGAGCACTGCAGGCCAAATGAATGAATGAATATTGTATAATTATAATTACCTATGAATTATGGACATCAGAGTTTGTTTTGTATTTAAATTAGAAATATGGATGCATGAGGTAGTTTTATTTTTATTTTTTGGTAATGCCTTTAAACATGCATGCTATTTAATCATTGATTAAGACACTAATAATCTTTAAACTTATGACCTGTAACCTTATTTTAAGGAATATAATATTTCCCTATTTATTAAAGACCGCAGTGACAAAACTTTGTCTGTGATCGCGTGTAAAAAAAAAATTCCCGTGGGTTTCCTTCGGGTGCTCCGGTTTCCCCCACAGTCCAGGCATATTGGGAATTGGATGAAAAAAATTAATGTCTGTTTGTGAATAAGAGAGTATATGGGTGTTTCTCAGGCATCCGCGCAAAAAACATTAGAAAAAATGGCGTTTCATTCCGCTGTGGCGACGCCTGATGAATTAAATACTAAGCCGAAGGATATAGTGCTTTTTAATGAAAGAAAGGGAGAGCTTTATAATGCTTTTGACATTGACATTTGTGTCCACTCTCTTCATGACTGTAAAAGGAGGGTTAATGAATACGTCATCGTTTAGGCTACTCATGTCATGTTTTTTATTTCTTTCTGGTTGTTGAGCTAAAAAACGAAAGATAAATAACTACACAACTTGTCCATTAAACGGTGTTTAATATTCCGCATGGTTAATAAGCTATGTGGTATCTTTTGTGTCAAGAACAAATTGAATTCAAAGCCCTTACCTGGCTATTTTCCTTTTACTGATTGGTCACATGACACGCCAGAACACCAAACGCTGAACCAAAGGCGCCATCTTTGAGTTGAGCAACTGTTGCAAACGTGAGTGTAAAGTGTTGGATTTGAATACACTTGCACATGAAGAACAATCAGACGATATTCTGCCTGATATATGTGTTAATGTTTCACAGTAGAAAATTATATTGCTTTTGAGCATGATGTGGGCGAGTGAAGACAAAATTAGCCTAGTTCTGAATTTTCTTTTAGAGCATATCTGAATTGGACAAAATATATAGGCCTAGGCTATGATAAATGTTGACTGTATAATTTATTTTTTACAGTTGGAGAAAGTAACTTTTAAAAGTACTATACAATATTTAGTCACTTTGTTTTAAAAAAAGTAACTAAATGTTTTACTTGATTGCTTTTTAAGCAAGGTAGGCTGTGTTAAAAATGTAACGTTTCCTAATACTGTTTATGTCTCTATTTATTAAATCCCTGAATCAAATGAGCGTTTACAGTTTAACTTGCAGAAGTGCAAAAAAGGTGGAGCTCAAGCTCAAGCTCCCCCTCGCTGGAGCTCAGCTCGCCCAAATGGCTCTGCAGCGAGCACCACTTGGGTTATATTTAACCTAACTCATAATATATTAAGCGCCACTAGAGGGCAGCATAGATGCGTTGAACTTAGTCTCATCAAACCTGAACACATCAAGAGAAAGGACAAATCAAAATTGTTTACATAACTTTGTTGACTTTAATACTTGAGAAATGCATGAAAATATACTCTTCATGAAATAATAAATATAAAATTTCTGTATGAACAAATGCACAATTTACAAAATATAAGTACCATCTCTGTGAACTATTAAGTCATTTAGTTATCTGCCAGTGACCATACCACATAATAGCAGTCTCTATTATATCATACTGATCATTTGGTATATTTGTTTTTGCCCATTTCACTCATCAGAAAAAAGGACATTCATATTTTGCTGTCTGCACTCATGGGGCAAAAGGGTACAGTCATCTGGGAATTCACATAAAAGTACAATCTGATTCTCATGAATCAACTCTGGCCAGAGACATTGCATAAGTATAACAAAATGTTCTAGCTTTTCTCTTATTGTTATTCTTAGCAACTACTATTTTACCAGATGCAACGATTAGAATTACTCACATTCGTGTTGTGTTACATACTGCGGCAACTAATTTATTGTAGGCAGACACCCAAAAATTGATCTAAGCAGTACCTAAATGTACTTAACTGCCATTTATTTTTACCACAGACGAAGTCACTCAGATAAAATTCTTGTTGGATTGTGAGCTTCCAAGAGACCCAGTTCCTCTTTAGGAAGCAAAAAGCAGTTGTGAAATGAGACAGGCCAAAAAACAAGTCAGCGCATATGTTGGGTTTGGAGCAGCGGAGTCAAGTGCGCTGGGGTTTGTGGGCTCACTGAGAGGCTTCAGTCTTTCTCTGAGTCTTTGTTGCTGTTCCTGTCGTATCTGAGGAGGCTCCACCGTCACATAGCCATTGGTTATCCTTATGCTTGGGTGTGGAGTCGTGCTGCGGTCAACATGAAAACAGAAATGTGTTTTTTATTAGTAAAAAGCTTTGAATTTCCTGCCTTGGAAATGTGGTTTCTGCCGAGTGTCATGTCCTCACCTGTCTCCTATGCGCACCCACAGGTCGCTGAACAGCCGAGGTCGACTGTGCGTATGATGGGTTTTACGAGGATGCTTGTAGCGGCCAAATTCCTCTAGCTGGCTGAGACTGTCAGGCAGCAGCATATGGGAGAGTTCTTCCTGGCTGATCTCCTCCAGCTCAGGAGTCTCTGATGTCCATTCTGTCACTGACTCGAAGCTGTCTTCGGTGGGATTCAGTGTGGTCGCCTCCCGCTCAGACCAGCTCCTTGGGTGAGAACATGTGGAAGTTATCAAGCCTGTGGCATCATGCAGAATTTTAATGTGAAATAGTCTAAACAATGGTAGTTTATTAATGTATATTTTCTTCAATATTTATACTGGCAGTTAATGATGCATCATACATCTTTATCATATCAGTTATCAGGTGATATTGGTTATATATTAGTCCATTTGACATTTAATTGGCAATAGCATTTCCCCACATTTTAAACATGGGCTGTTTAAAACTACATGAAAAAATGTATGTGAAGAAAGATGAGTGAATTCACATTGATAAGAGAGTAGTATACAAAGTATCAGGATGACTTATTACTTCCAGTGAGATTCTAAAATGTGCAATTATATTATATTATATTGCATTATATTATATTATTTTATATTATATTATATTATATTGCATTGTATTATATTATATTATATTGCATTATATTATATTATATTATATTATATTATATTGCATTATATTATATTATATTATATTATATTGCATTATATTATATTATATTATATTATATTGCATTATATTATATTATATTATATTATATTATATTGCATTATATTATATTATATTATATTATATTATATTATATTGCATTATATTATATTATATTATATTATATTATATTATATTATATTATATTATATTATATTATATTATATTATATTATTATCCAGCATATGTTTTAAGCAGCGGAAGCCCTTCCAGCCGCAAGTCAACACTGGGAAACCCATACACACTCTTTCACACTCATGGCCAATTTAGCTTATTCAATTCAACTATAGCGCATGTCTTTGGACTTTGGGTGAAACCGGAGCACCTGGTGGAAACCCACGCGTACACGAGGAGAACATGCAAACTCCACACAGAAATGCCAACTGACCCAGCCGAGGCTTGAACTAACCACCTTCTTGCTGTGAGGCGATCATGCTACCCACTGCGCTACCATGAAGCCTTGTATTATATTATATTATAATTTATTATATTATATTATATTATATTATATTATATTATATTATATTATATTATATTATATTATATTATATTTTATCACTTTACAAAGTGACACAAAAAATATAGTACAAATATGTTACATTCATACCAAATAATTTGATGGTTTACCTAAAGCTAAAAATTCTGTCATTTTTTATTTAACTTTTACTTGTTCCAAATCTGATTGAATAGCGTTTTTCTGTTGAACATGAAAGAAGATATTTTGAAGAAAGTTGGACACCTGTAACCACCGATTTTCATCAATTCCAAGTCAATGGTTACAGGTATTCAGCTTTCTTTAAAATTTCCTCTTTTAGGTTAACTCATAGGGGTTTGGATGAATTTAAGGGTGAGTCAATTGTTAGTGGGTGACACGATGGCTCAGTGGTTAGCGCTGTCACCTCACTGCAAGAAGGTTGCTGGTTAGTCCCGGTTTGTTTATATGGCATTTTTGTGTGGAGTTTGCATGGTCTCCCCATGCTGGCATGGGTTGTTCCCGGGTGCTCCGGTTTCCATGCACTATAGCTGAATTGATTAAACGAAATTGGCCGTAGTGTATGTGTGTGAATGTGAAAGTGCATGGGTGTTTCCCAGTACTGGGTTGCAGCAGGAAGGGCATCCGCTGTGTAAAACATATACTGGATAAGTTGGCAATTCATTCTGTGAATGAAGGCAATCCCTGATGAATAAAGGCACTAAGATGAAGGTAAATTAATAAATTAATACATTTTTTATCATTTTTAACTTTTGGGTGACCTTTCCCTTCAAGTCTTCTAAAGCATTTTTTTTAAACAGCCTTAATAATTTAATACATTTTTTTTAGCAAATCTCCAAACTGGTATCTTAATTGTTATACTGTATATCAGGGGTGGCCAACCCTGTTCCTGGAGAGCCACCTTCCTTCAGATTTCAGTTGCAACCCATATCAAACACACCTGAACCAATTAATTAGGACCTGATAATTACTGGCAGGTGTGTTTGATATTGGTTGCAACTGAAATCTGCAGGAAGGTGGCTCTCCAGGAACAGGGTTGGCCACCCCTGTTGTACATTATATCATTGAGATAGCTGAAAATGTGTTTCAACATTTAAAGTAATTTAATTATTTAGTATATTTTTCATTAGGATTTATTTTTATAAATGCATCTAATATGCATCTGTCATTTTTACCTGGCTGGATTGAATATAAATTTTGCTTTAAAATGATTTGTTTTGGCTTTGTTTTTAATACAACAATTTTTTTATCCATTTATAACATGGAAATATATTTCTGTATATTGGTACCAGTCAAAATACACATGAAGCTTATTCGAGAACTGGGCAGTGTCAGGAGACACCGTTGAAGTACTGCAGATAACAACCTAGTCGTGTTTCAAAAAAGTTCTGGCTTAGTGTGTGCATGTGCGTGTGTTTTGGAGATACTTCGAACTTCAAACGACATCATATCAACCTTTCAGCTTGCTAAGAATTTACAAAGAGCCAGTGAGGTCAAATCTACAATCTCAAAGTCTTGAGCCCCCAAACTGATATCATGGACTTGCATACCAATCTACACTGTTACTAAATGCTAGGATTAGACAATATTGATCTTAGTTTTATTTTTTAATATAACAAAGTTAAAGATTATAGACATCCAGAAATACATGTGTCTATAGTGCACCAGTAGGGTGTAGCATTGCCCAAGACTGTGCCCCTGTATAATTGTCGCCTCCGGCTGGTGAGTGCCCGCTGGGTCATTTCATCACAGTAAACATCAGCCAAAGCCATGCACACTGGGTAAATATGACGACATTTGGTAAACCGTACTTCATTCCTGACTGCCTCATTGTGGTTAAGCCAACCAGCCGTGTTTAGTACGTCCATGAAGTGTTTTGTTTGGTTTGAATCTCGTAATCACCCATGTGTGCACCACAAACATACTACAGGCCTCGAGTTTGTGGTTCATGAGCTTTTAGTAAACACATGTCCGGCTGCCATTGCATGTTGTTTTATTTGCCCATCATATCACCTCATTTTTTCACTTTACAGTGGAGAGAAAATGCGGGAGGGGAGCAAGAAAGCTGGAAGGGTTTGTGTTTCTAAACCACAGTCAGTCCATCATTCAGCCGCTCCATCCAGCTGTCAGCTTGTTACCAAAGCCACTGTCATCATCTCCGGCAATCTGAGAAGCCCCTCACGCTCTCTGTCCCTGCCTATTGCACTTAAAGCTTCACAGTGTGCCAAAGGAAAACGTCCGCACTAAAATTTACAACAGGAGGTTTTTCAAACAACAGCGGCTGGATGTTGTGGCTGTGGTTGGGTGCTTTTCGAGTTCGAATTGCCTTTATGGGACCATTCACTTACTCTGCGTTCTCACTTTTCCATTTTCGCCTTTGTTGGGTGTTGGAGCCATTACAGCTATTTAATGAGTACAACCTACACAGCCTTTGGATCACCTCCTTCCAGCTCCCCTGAAAGCCTGTTGAGTAATGGTACAAGTATGCCAACGATGGAGGTGGGTTGTCTTTGTTTGTGCAGGCATTGCACCCCTCTATGCAAGATAAATGGGTGAGACCTGAATTGGCGTATCGCTGGTCTGGCCCACCTCATCATGGTTAGCAGGGGGAGATCAAAGGCATAGTTTAGCTCTGTTTGCAGTTTAGCACAGTAAGTGGAATATCCTCCTGGTGAATTACAATGTGCTTGGGGTTTCGATGTGGTGAAATACGATGCATTGCAGAGTTTGTGTATGTAGTATGCGTCATTATATTCAGGCCCACAGTATATTTGGGAAGGTTTGTTGTTTAAATAACTTTATAATTATTACGTGTGGGCAAGGTGTTGGCATAGGAAGAAAAAGAATTAAGAGGTTAGGGGAATATCAGTGGGGAGAAAAGGAGGGGTGAGGGTTGGATTAGTCTATTGTGAGAGAACTGTAAAGCCGAGAGCATGAAGCAAATTCAAATTTGAATCAAAGAAAATAGGAATAAATTTAATAGCATACAAATACTAAAAGGTTGTTTTTTTAATGAAAATCGAAAAGTAATTGAAATCGACATTCAGAAACTGTAAGCCATCTACAGGTCAATTTTTTCAATTACTTTCTCTGCCAAGTATGAAATCACTGACCCTGCTTTGTTAAGGCTGATTTGTACTTCTGGGTTGAACGCACACATATTTTCCAGTGCAGCCTTTGAGCGGTCGCATACATGCACAAATTTTCAAAAATGTAACTACACATCGCACGTTTGCATCACAAGAGTTTATTCTACTGCTTATTTTCTACTTTTGAAAACTTCGAAAATAACTTATTTTGTTTCCAAAATTACAGGTTAAATTCAATAAAAGTTGTTCAATACATAATTCATAGATATTAGATAGTGTGTGTCTCCTTCAATTATTTTAAAAGCAAGTACTGCACCCTTCACCCAAAAATCTCTTACTTGTGAGCATATTTACTGTACAAAACCTGTCAGTGAACAATAAAGGCAATAAATAAATAAATAAATTGTTCATTAATTGTAAACGTGTAAAAACGTTCAATTAATAGAGATTTTGATTTAAGGCTGAATCATCCAGCCCTAGAACATGTAGACTGATGAATTGAAAGGGAAAAAGTTACTAGCCTCAATATAGAGAGCTTGTGGGATAGATTTTTTGTATTGTGGGATGAAGTCCTGTACAGTACCTGCTGAATTCTGTTGCCCATAAAATCTTTTCCCATCATGCCACACTTTAATTAGGGCATACTAGTCACTACTTTGGTGATAAAATGGCAACTATAGAAATGTGTACTTAATTCAGTGTGTATTTAGTCATATTTAATATGTAGCATAATCTTTTTATTACCAGGGTGGAAAAACACTTTATTTCTCAGAATGCATTACCAGTTGAATTTCCTTGCAGTTCAGTAAATACTGCTTGTTTGGTGTATATACATTTGTGTACATATGCAATGTTTTTGTATAAATAGTGTGCTCACAACAAATGAAAAAAGAAAAAGTACTGTAGATGTTTTATTTTCATAATATACACTGAAAAAAAGATTCATTACTCAGTTAAATTTGCTTGTTTCAATTCAACCTATATACAGAATTATTAGCCCCCCTATTTATTTTTTCCCCAATTTCTGTTGAATGGAGAGAAGATTTTTTTCAACACATTTCTTATCATAATACTTTTATTAACTCATCTTCTAATAACTGATTTATTTTATCTTTGCCACGATGACAGTAAATAATATTAGACTAAATATTTTTTAAGACACTTCTATACAGCTTAAAGGGACATTTAAAGGCTTAACTAGATTAATTATGTTAACTAGGCTGGTTAGCGTAATTAGGAATAATAATGGTTTGTTCGGTAGACTATCAAGAAAAAATAGCTTAAAGGGGCGAATAATTTTGACTTTAAAATGGTTTTTAAAAAATTAATAACTGCTTTTATTTTAGCTGAAATAAAACAAATAAGACTTTTTCCAGAAGAAGAAATATTATCAGACATTCTGTGAACATTTCCTTGCTCTGTTAAACATCATTTGGGAAATATTTTTTAAAAATTCAAAGGGGGTTATTAAAAAGTTTGCAACAACTTTGCAGTCATCATTTTTTGGGCTGTCAGACTTGGGTGATGTTGGGTGACAAAATAACTTTATATAATTCATACACCAAACAGTACTCTATATCATGCATAGAGTAAGTGTATAGTGCATCGTCTAGTACACAACTTTAGTCATTCCATTCATACTCAAATCCTGTGGTCAACACACTCATGGACTGGAATGGTACCAATTGGCTAGTTCTTATTTTTCAAGTGTTTAAATTGGTTGACTCACTGTATGATGGGCTCTTGTGGTGGTGTGTGCTCCACCTCATAGCCCTCCTGCCGCAGAATGTCCAGTACACTATGATTCCCCAGGAAATGACCTGTAAGACATAGAAAACAAGAAGCCATCTTAGTGACGGTGCATTATACTGTATGAGGGAGGATGTCTTGTGAACCCTCTTTTTCTCTTGTTCTTGATCTCAAGGTGCACTTGTTCTTCAAGAATGAGGCCACATAAAATGCCCCCATGCTACTGTCTCTCCGCCTCGGCTCTCACGTATAATACACTCATAATTCCTTCACTCTTGAGACATCAAACGCACGCGCTCCAGCGCCACGCTGATGAAAGCTGTTTCACTTCTCCGCGCAGCCGATAATCCCATGTGTCACTCAACCCAGCAATAAGCGCTAATACAGCCTGACCTCATCGCCTCAGCATGCTCCGCAAGCTTATTAACAGCACGCTGAAAATCTTCAAGGCTGTCTCTTTTCATGCTTCTTTATCATCATTATTTTGCTGATCATTCGCGAAGACAGGACAGGGGAGGGTGAGCGAGGGGCCCGCGGTGCTTTCTTGGCCGCCAAGTTCAAAGGCTGCTGGGGCGACTGGCACGGAGCGTGAAGAGGCTACCACTGAGCGTCGGTCAGATCAGAGGGCCAGATTATGAAGCTACGCCCCTCGGCATGGTGGGAAGAAACAGGCAGCCCATTGAGGCCGGACCTGTTGTGTTCCTCACCTCGTCTCCCGTTCCAGTGCCAGTTCAGTGACACCGTCAGCAAGCCATCACACCCACATCCTCTGATTAATGTTCATATTAAACTCGCTTAGAATGTATTTTTTTGGAAAATGTTGAGTAATACAGCCATGCCTCTGTATTCTGCATGTGAGGACGAGCGGTTCATTTAATGTGCTGTATTTATTTGGTTCCAGCCACATAAATAACCCGGCCGGACAGAGCGCTCTCACAGACCTTTTGGCTACTGGAGGAAGTAGTTACTTGAGAAGCGTTCAGTTATTAGAGGAAGTAGTTGGATTAGGTTTCAGGCTGCGGTGAGGTGCGGGTGGTCACCTGACTATCAAATTATGAGGTTAAGGTATAGGCCGTATCCAGAGAAATAGTCTTCTTTTAATTATTGAAAGGAGGCAGGGACATGCTAGAAAACAATTTGGCCTCAACTAATCTCTCCTTCTGTCTCTCTTTGTAGGCATCCACGCCCAAAACACTGGCATGCGATAAATAAATACACACGCCCACAAGCAAACAAACTAACCCGTGTTTCATACACACAGGCACGCTTCACTACTGGAGTTTCAGCTCTTCAAATGCTGATACAATTCATTATGTGTTTTTGTGGTGTTTATTTTTTGACCGCAGTATATTTCGATAACCAAGAACAAACTGCCATTGAGAAATCCTGAAAACACAAGCAGACCTCATACAAATCTGTCTGAGGCTTAGCTAAAGCTCCAGGCTTTTTTTGTGAAAGTTACTCCCAAATCTTCGTCCAAATGATTCAGATTGAAAAGACTGAGACAGGTGCAGAGACTGTTTGTTCATTCCCTCTGTTTAGAGCGAACAGGGTGTTCTCATATTTAATTTTTTAAACTGTATGTCAAGTGTTAGATACTTGGCTATAGGTTTGATTCCCTGGGAATGTGCATATCTTTTCACCTTGAAAGTGGCTTTATATTACAGTGTCCACTATTTTAATAAATGTGAAAGTTTAAATAACGTCAATACAGTCTGGCTTTTACTTTAATGTGCAAATCTACAGCTTAAACCCTGAGTTCTCTCTCTCTGACTTTCATCAGACTTGTTCGCATTTTCGCTCCTGGGGTAATTAGGGTTCTCAATCACTTTTTAAGCATACGTTCTTTAGTGCATTTAAATATTTTCTGAACTCCCTAACCTCTCATACTTTCTCATATTTAGAAGATGTACTGTGAACGGTACAGGGATTGGTTTGAGTATTTTGGGTTGTGTCCAGATGTCAGCACCTTCATGATACATGATACATTACACACAAGACCAAACATACTTACAGCCAATGCTTTAGGCTTGTGAGGAGTTTTTTTGTAAAGCAGGGATTTTTGTGGTTTGTGTCTGTTTAAATTTAGTCAATATTTTTTGATGTCATGTTTGTTAATGTTTTTAAATCCCTCTAATGAGCATTTAAAAAAAAACTATGCAAAATTCAGACAGAAACTTTCATACTATTAAACATTTGGGTCAGAAAATAATTACTATTATTGTGTAATCTACAAAAACGTACAAAAATTTGTGAAAATGATGATATGCATAGATATTCATTCTATATGTATAATTTGGCTGGCAGCTAGCTCTCTGCAACTCTCACACGGTCGCCCAGAGCTAAGCAGGGCTGTGCCTGGTCATTACCTAAGTGGGAGACTACATGGGAAAGCTAGGTTGCTGCTGGAAGTGTTGTTATTGAGACCAGCAGGGTGCTCAACCTGCAGTCTGTGTGAGTCCTAATGCTCCAGTACATTGATAGGGACTCTATACTGCTTTACTACTGTCTTTTTGGATGAGACGTTAAAGGTGCTGTATGTAAGTTTTTGACTCTTCTAAAGCATAAAAATACCATAACATGTTTGCAGATATTTAAGAAACATGCCAAGTGAACATACTTGTTTATTGAAAAACAATGCTGCAGTCAGATATTCTGCTTTGAAAATGTGTTTTCCGTACCAGAATGGCTGTCTTTGTTTTGATAATTTTTCTCTGCCCACTGCCAGTTTAACTAATTATGTTTGAACACCCTGGGTTGCCTTGCTGGAAAACTGTATTTTATTCATTCATTCAGAAAGGCTCTGAAAGCATCAACCGTGACAAAATGGACAGACGACCTCTGGTGGACAGTAGCAGACTCTGAAATGAGACCGATTCAGTTAAACATGAGGTTATTTATTTGCAAATGATACAAATATTACAAACGTAAACATTAAGTGAGCAGGTTACATTGTAACCGCGTGTCCTAACAACACGATACGTGACAAGCTACGCGGTAATAAGCAATTTGGCTGTTTGCACCAGATGAAACATGATAGAAGTTTAAATACAGCTATTTAGAAGCATAGAATATGTACTCACTCATAAAATTGTAAGTTTTATAATTCATTTAATACATATGAACCTTTTTTAACATTATTAAACGTACATGCTGAATCACTGATAGGTGTTAGTTTGGCATTATGTTACAGTTCTAAAGTTCAATTTCACACAATTTATTTTATTTTCAAATTTGAGGTGAACTATCTGCTGCTGTTTTCAGTAGTTAGGCAATAAATGTAATGTAAAATGGCCTTAAAACTCACAAGTGAGAAATAAAAGCTGTATTTAATATATCAATTCAACATATTGGTTAGGACAAAAATTCCCTTTTAATATGGAAAATATTTCTTCTATCGCATGCTGTTACTTTTATTTAGGACACGTTTTAAATCACTCGCTGCTGTCCTCAATCTGGCAACCTGTGCGTTCCTTTATTTGATCCAGGAGTACAATATCTACTTCAACCACTAGGTGTCAAACTTACATACTGGACCTTTAAACTTAGGTCCTGACTTTCTGTGGTCGTTTAAAATCCCAGGATATCTAACGAAAAAGTGTAGGGGTTTATTCCCAGCACACTGGCCAAAATGTACCCACTGGCTTCTGTCCATCATGGCCTACTAACCATCCCCATATCATAATTGGCTTCATCACTCGGCTAGTGTGTGGTGTGCAGTCTGGTGCAATATGGCTGCTGTCACGTCATCTAGTTTGATGCTGCACACTGGTGGTGGATAAGTGGAGATCCCCCCCAAAAATGAGTAAAGTGCTTTGAGTGTCCAGAAAATCACTATATATATATATATACACATGTAAGGAATTATTATTATTATTTTTACCCTGAATTGCTTTTCCTTTATAGGTTATAGTAATAAACCACCCTCATTATACGTCTAGACAAAATAGCTCTATGCTTTTGCAATCTTGTATTGTTTGTAAAACTCTGTAGACAAATGTTTATGTGCAATTCACTGAGGTGCTGCTTTTTGTCAAATTTTATCAACAGTATAGTTAAATCACTGATTAAATTAAGTTGATCATAAAAATGTAATTATATTTTAATCACTAGGCATCTTTATCTCTAATCAAATATGTGATGCACTTAACGTTTTCTTTAGTTGTCGAGCATTGGTGTTTATTTACTTTATGTCTGAAAAGAAATGCAGACTAATCAGTGTCTAGTTTTTACTGCACACACGCTGCCAGAAAACAATATCAAGGAGAAAGCAAACATCCTGAGACATGAAATTGCAAGGCACTGTAGGCCACCAGGCTGCCGTTGACTTTGATCATAGTACTACTTTTGTCTTGTTTTCTCTCTGCTTGCTGTCCATTATTGTGAGCAAGCATGTGTGTATCTGTAGCTCTGCATGTGTGTCAGATGTTACTCAAGGGAAGCCTCTACCTCTGACTCGTTCATTTTCTGCTCTCCCCCGTGATCACCCTACAAACTACTGACCTCTAATGCAGCACAGCTCCGTCTAATCCACACACACATACTATCCACTGCAAGTTTTTACAGCAGCAGGAAATCTATAAATCTCAACATGGTCTCTGAGTCAACAAACCCTCAGCGCCGCCTTGAGTGTACGACCCACAGATCAGCTCTAACACCTATATAAATCTCAGAGCGAGATCAGGAAATTCCAGCCTTCAGGCCATCCTTGGGATATTGGAGAATTAAGGGGGCGCTTCTTTGTTTTACCTGTCCAAAGGGGCTCTCTAATGAGGGGTCTCTGCCTCTCTGTGGGCGGCTATTGGGTGTGTAGGTGTTCAGGGACTTACGCGGGACTGAAATATTTTAAGGGTTTGATGCAGAAACATTGAAACTGTTTCCTTTATGGCTTCAAATATTTACATTTCTCTTACGGTGACTGTGGGGTGGTGGATTAGCCAAAGAAAGAGAGAGAGAGAGAGAAAGTAAGTCCAACGCATGGGGACATTTTCACAGTTGAGGAAAAGTGAAAATGGAGGAAAGAGATGAAAAAGGGAGAGCAGGAGCGCATTAACGGTCAAAGCTCACAGGG